TTCATGCTATATAAATACCGTATAATAATAATAATAATAATAATAATAATAAATATAGAGAGCTAAAAATTTATGAAAGCGTAATGCCAAAACTTTAGTAAGGATCTTGAGATCACAATTAATCAAGGAAATAGGACGATAATTAGAGACAACAGTAGTATCTTTGTTGGGTTTAGGAATGACACTAATGAATGCTTTATTTTCATCAGGAGGTACCACTCCCTCGTCTCGTAAATAATTAAAATAGTGGACCATATGTGGAATCAGAATGTCAGGGAAAGCTTTATAATAAGCATGAGGAAGGCTGTCCAGTCCTGGGGATTTATGAGAAGTGAGAGTGTTTAAGGCGTTCTGAATTTCCTCGCAGGTAATAGGCCGATCCATTAAGTTTCTATGGGCTTCTTGGAGAGAAGGAAGAGTGACAAAACTCAAGAAACTTTCGGTAGAGGAGAAGGTGTCCCCTTGAGGCGAACGGTACAGATCAGTATAGAAAGAGTGAAACTCTTGGAGAATCTTACTGGGATCTTGAGACAGAGCACCTGTATTTAGTCTTTTAGGAAGAGCCACATGAGAATGTTTAGGAGAGAGCTTACTTGCTAATAAGGTGCCTGGTCTGTCTCTCCAAGTGAAAAATGTGTGATTGGACCAGCATAACTGCTTGTCGGCTGTAGTGGTAAGACATAGATTAAGTTCTAATCGGGCTTGGTCAAGTCTAACTAATAGAGCTGGATCAGGATTCTGTTATGTTGAGTAGTTTTAGTTAAAATTAAGTCATTGCGAGCTTCTTTAGGTCATGAGGAAAGTTGAATAAAAAACCCCCTGACCAAGGCTTTATAGGCCGCCCAATTAATAGCCGGAGTCGTATCATCTGCCCTTTTGAGTTCAAAATACATTTGCAAATGTGTAGAAATATCATGACAATAAGAAGCATTGCCCAAGATAGATTTGTTAAGGTGTCAATGAGGAGCAGTTCTTCCATGTGTCCAGGACGAGAGTGTTAAAAAAACCGGATCGTGATCGGACCAAGGTGTGGAAAGAATTTTAATTGTGAGCATTCTGGAAAGTGAACGTGTATGGAGGAATATGTGATCAATACGGGAATAGCAGTTATGAGCCCTAGAGAAGTGAGAATAATCTTGAGAAGTCTGATTAGCTTCCCTCCAAGCATCAATGAGATCGTACCAATATAAAAGTTGGGCAAACTTACAGCTCTGTCTAGAAGGAGATTGAAGCTTGGTGGTTCAGGAACGATCCAGTATCTGGTCTAATGCTAAGTTAGTCACCAGCCAAAACAACATCACCCTCAAGCTCTGATGCTAAAGAGCTCAATAAAGATTGAAGAAATTCCACCTGGTTAATATTTGGAGCATAATATATTAAACAAGTGAGTACGTTTCCGCCCAAGTGACCTTTCCCCAGAAGATAGCATCCCTCCCGATCCCTAATAATTTTAGTCAATGACAAACGGCGGGAGAAGCAAAGGGCAACCCCTCGCTTCTTCTCTGTGGCATTAGCAAAATAACAAAGGGGATAGTCTTTATGGACATATCGTGGAGTTAAAGAAGAGGAAAATGTGTCTCCTGAAGGGCTACGATATCCACCCCTGAAGAGCGGTATGAATTAAAGGCCTTAATACATTTAGAGGGAGAACTGAACTCCTGAACATTATGAGACAACAATTGGATAATCTCTGTCAGACCGTTGGGGAGACATGGTCAGTATTTGGCGAACTATAGTTGGCGAAAGCTATCCACTCCAGAGCACAAGAGATATTAGGATGAACCAGTAAGAAGGACGGCTGACCCTCAAAGAAAGAAGAAAAAAAAAGGAGAAAAAAGATTTTAAAAAAATAGACCAAAGAAAAAGAAGCGAAAGAAGACACTTGGGATATTCACATTACACATTATAATGTAAACAAAACAAACAGTAAACCAAAAGTATCAGGACTAAAGCCCTGTAAAGGAATGGCTCTGCCCAGAGAATTAACTCAGGGGAGAGTCTTCCAAATTTGAGAGGGACCAATATCAGCATAATGCAACATTAAAATAACCAAAACCCCACAAGAACCAATATCAACAGACATAATTATCGCAATAGTGCAAACAGCCTTATAGAAAGGAAGGGGAAAAAAATAGGGTTTTTACCTTTTCTTTTCCCCCCCCTCCCCCCCTTCTCTCCCCCCTCTCCTCTGTTTTCCCCCTCTCCTCCTGAAACAGTGGCAGCTAATGTTTCCAAGGAAACCACTGAGAAGCCACCACCGTAAAATAGGCAATATTACCTCAAGAAGTGTTTTTATGTGATTTTGTCTTCTTGGAAGTTGAAGCAGACCACAGTGGCAACAGTGGCGGAGGACAAGAAGCAGGTCTTGATGGAGAATGAGATTAAAGACTATGGAAAATGATGCCTAGTTGAAGAAGGAGTTCTTCGCCTTCATGAAATGTAGAGAACCCATAAGGTTTTCCATTGTAGGTAAATTGTAGCTGGAAAGAGTAGGCCCACCGATAGCGGATATCCCGCTGCACCAAGTGGGAAAGGAGTGGTTTGAGGGATCTCCGTTTCTGGATGGTGGTCGAAGAAACATCTGCAAGTATTTGTTTGCTCCGGAATTTCTCTACTATATTTCATGACAGCTTCCTTGACCTGGAATGTGGTTTGACAATAACATCTCTAGCAGGCCCCCGCTGTCTAGGGGGGATCAGTGCCCTATGTATACGATTAATTTCTGTATGAAGATCATCAATTTCAGGCATTGCGGATCGCATAAGGGATTGGGCAAAGCTAGTGAGCTCTTTGATCGATTCCGGGAGCCCTTGAATACGGAAATTGTAACGTCTGGCCCGGTTCTCTAGATCATCAATTTTGGAGTAAGCTTCATCAAGCCGATCCTGCAAATCGGTAATCATATTGGAATTTTGGGATAAGTTATGAACTGCTGCATCAACTTTAGATTCAATACTATCAAGACGTTGGCCCAATTCTTGAAAATCTTGCTTAAGATCAGCCGCCAATCTAGTAGTAGCTCTATCTAATTCTCTTTGTAACAGATCAGCAAAACGAGTGATAAGGGTCGCATCTCCCAAATACTGTGGTGGAGCTGGAAGGAGTGTTAGTGAGTTCTCAGGGCTATCAGGGTCAGGTTCCACACCACTGCTCTGGCTAAAAAAGCCCCCATCTCATTATCTAATGGAGAAGATGCTGGAGAATCTTGGCCTAGTGAGCAGGCCGAAGCCTGGGACACTGGTAGAACAGGGCTAGGAGGAGATTGGGGGGGTGTATAGGGTCACTCACCCCAGCAGAAGAGGCCACCATGTCACGATCCCAGCCTGTAGCTGCAGGAGGGCCAGATTTTGCCCGCTGAGGGAGAGGTGCTGTCTGCAGGGATGCAGCGGAAGCCACAGGAGCTAAGCCGGGCGCCATCTTGGGTTCACTGCCCGCCACATGGATCAGGTGCTGGGAGTCGCTGCGACCCCTCCCCGATACTCGTTCCGGCATGGGGACAAGGCTCCGGAGGTCCCGGTCTGGACCAGAGAGGAATCGGGGTCCTTGTGGGGCTCGGTGCCCGATTATGGGATCAGTAAATGCTGGGGGAGTGCGGAGTGGTTACCGGGACATGTGTGCCAGCCACCCATGCATGTGCACCTCCCTATTTGATGCTTTAAAGATTGGGAACAATATATGAGTTTATACTGTTTATACAGTTTATATATAGAAATCTCTTTCTTTACAGTTCTAAATTTTCTAGTTATTTTTTAACAGGGCTAATAAAAGTTTAGATGGCTAAAGGATATATGCAGTTTCCCTGTTAGACCTTTCCCAGTCTAGCTTCTTATTCCCAAATCACAGTTTTCAAAAATGCTCCTATAAAAGAAGAATTTATTTAGACTGGTTTATTGGTTTTCATGGCTATTAACTGTGCCTTGAAAAAAAATTACAAAATGGAGATGAAAAAAAAGGAAGAGAAAATAATTTTCTTAGAAAGTTCATTTATTTTTCTAATCATTAATGGGTTAAATTTACATTCATTCTTAATTGTAGTGACAATTCGAAGGACCGGGATGAAAAATTTTTCTTGAACAAATTTCTAACAGTGTATGTGGTCCATTCATTCCAAAATCAAATGTTAAAAGCAAACGAAAGCTTTCAAACAACAAATGAATGTTATGGGAATGTACTCAGAATTTTTGCACGCATTTTCCTAAAGCAGCCACCAGATGAATCAATTTTCTTTCCTTCCACCACGGGTGAAAGAAAAGATAATCACAGGATTCCCCCATCAATCGAGTCACTGTTGCTGAGGAAATACCTACCACAGCTCCATTGTGTTTTGTAGGCCGGGGAGGGGGAGAAGGGTTCGGGATGCCTTCCTGGCAGGCAGAGGACAATGGTTACTACTAGTGGGTATAGCTGCTGGCAGTAATTGGATGGCAAAAAATTCAAAAGACTGGTGGTACCCAAGTCAATCTATGGAGTGACTTGGGTACAATCAACCTGCCCAATACATGGATCAAATATCGGCCAGTCCTTACTGAACCGGCTGAATTTCAATCTATGTATTGACGGCCCTAAGACTCTTCCTAAGAATTTTCATTTGAAATTCTATCCATCTATGGCCAGGTTATTTCTCTGGGAATCCAGTTATTTTTTGCTCTTCAAAAGCAGTATAGAGTCAGGAAGAGGTAGAAAACACCCAGGGCTGGCCTTAGGTTAAATTGGGCCCTATGTGAGATCTGTTTGCCCCTCTATATCGTAAACACAAATAACAATGTAATTACATACAGCAATATTAAATTATGCTGTCTGACTTGACATAATATAATGAAAAACCACTGATACATTACATCCAGCATGCATTTCAGCCTGTTCAAGTCTTAAAACATTTTTTCTCATGACACAGCAAGGGATAATTATATGTTATTAGGTGAATTGCGATTATTTATCTACAACACTTATATCACCAGGGAAAAGTTCAAGACGATATGTTCCAGCCATCTGCTACAGACATGGTCCATATGCTTCTGGATATAATTCCCAAGGTGAGTTTTATAAGCCAAGTTTCCTTGCACAAAATTGTGTTTTTGCATTCAAAATGTAACTAAGGAACTTTCTTACAGATTCTGTCCAACTGCCCCAGGAAGGACATATCTAGTTCTGTACTGTCTCCTTTTCCAACACAAAAGGCTTTGCTGTTGTTGAGCTCATGTGTGACGGATAAAGAAAGAAAACTGTGGGAAAGCTTAGGAGACGCTTGGTTAAGAACAAGGTACTGAAACCAGAAGGTTAATTAAGGACCAATGACAATTACAGCTGATGCACTGGTACCTAAAGTGAATGTCAAGCCAAACCTCTTTTGGATAGAGTAGGGATGGACAATTATGCCTGTCAGGTTGTAGGGGACATGGATTGGACAGCTCACTCATGACACCCCTGACCAGAGACCCACTGTTAAATCAAGAAATGTCTACTTTTAGATATGTTTTCAGGACTTTGGTCAATTATATTAATATCACAGCAGTCTTTTCAGTGAAAAACACAATCACACATTTCAGCCTTCTTCCCATTTTCACTCTTCTAGGAAGCGCCACAGAGAAGGAACAGCTCCCTAACCGTATGCTAGTTTCTGAGCTTAGGGCCTTCTTATATCAAGCCACAGCACCCGCAGCTGAAGGTCAGGGGTGCAAAGTCCCCCCATTAGCATACTGCTATTCACAAAATGTCCACTCTTTAGTCCTGCCCAGCTGGGTACTCTCTTCGATGGTACTTGCTCCCAGGGTGTCTGTTCGCGGATGGCCGCCATAATACAGTGGACAGCGTGCAATGCACCTCACTGTCCTACGTCTAGTGGAATAATGGACCCTTAAAATAGTCAAAAAAGGGCTGCATTAGTATCTAAATGTTGCAATAAAGAAAAAGAACTTGCTGAAAAACTTATTTAAAAATAAGCTGAAAAAAATTAAAATATGTTAAAAAGCATTAGTTAAAAAGACTTGGCGGCCATGTTTCCAGAGCCCCAAGCATAATACACTGACTGATGTTTGTACTGCTGGTATGCATACTATTTAGGATAAAAAAAAATTGTCTTTTGCATAAAAGTTTACTGTACGTATTGTTTTATGGCATTGTATATTTGCTATTATTCATTTTATAGCACAATTGTTGTTTGAGCACACAGAGTATATATATATTGGTTTCCCTATTTATGATTTAATCACTGGGCAGAACGGATATATTTGTTAGCCTATAGGGCATTGAAGCATACGCACATCTGTGGGGACCCTATATGTAGTAGGGTGGTTTATTTATTTTTTCAGTGAGGCAGCGCAGCAACTTTTATGTTTGTACCCACACAATTGTTCACCATTACACATTTGTGGTTTTGCTAGCAGCAGCCAGTCTAATTAATCCTCTGAGCAGGCTACACTTATACATGTTATCTTTTGAATTACAGAGATGAGGTCATGAACATTCAATTAGACATTTCTCCTTAATGGTAATGATTTTCAAAATGTTACTAACTGTTTAGTGTTTTGTGTAGGGGGTGTACTAATAGGTGATTTTTTTGCCTAGCCCAGAGTTCTTCTTTAATGATGTGAAATAACCACAATGAAAGTCTCAATGACCAGGTGGACTCAGGCCACTCTTTCGGGAGCTTTTTTTCTATATTATCAAGAATTATGTATGTTTTTATTTAAAATAATAATGTGATGTGGTAATGCTAACATTTGCCTTTTTCTATCTTGCATAAATTTCAATGATATAGCTCTGCTTAAAAAAAAACTATGCACTAACTAACACCTTAAACATAAAAAGAGTTTAACATCATTTAATACATGTAAACTATTGGCTACATAGGGGCTTCCAGAATTTGCCTTCAATAAAATCACTAAACAGAAGATCAGTTGTCTGTGTAGAAAGATGGCATTTTCAAACAATGTGTATTTTTTTCAACTTCATATACTGTACATTATGTTGTATTTTATGGTTATAAGACTTTATAGTTAGACAAAGGTTACTAATTTGCAGCTTCCTCTTTTCATGCTGCTTTCTTTATAGAGCTGATTGGCCTAATGCTAAGATGATCCCACCATATATACCAGTATTCTCTGATGGATGGATTCCTCCAAATATAAGCTCAGTAAATGGACAAGCAAAGGTAAACAGAGGTATCAGAATGTTAGCTGTCAATTTAAAAAATGACTTGTAATATATATAGGGGCTGATTTATTACAGGCAAATAGGCTGTTCTCTTTGCAAGGGATGTTGCACTTGACAAGGAAATTTACCCCAGAGTTTAGTGATTGTGGTAAAGTTTCACTTTCAAAGAATACACAATAATGAGCAATGAAAATATAAAAAACAACATTTTTGCTTGCTCATGGTTGCATGATGAGATGAGATGCAGCAGAGCGTCACCTCATTCACTAAGCTCTGGGGCAAATGAACAACCTATTTGTCTATAGTAAATCAACCCTGCAGTGCTACAGTGGACTATTTGTGTACATCCATATCAGAATAATGTTCACTGGTAATGTAAAATGTCTTCCCTGGACATTGAACTCTACAAACTGTGTCTTCAGTGTGAACACTATATACAAACTTAAATGTCATAAGAAATCTAAGTAATGAGAAACCACTTCCCAAATCCTACATACATTTTATTGTGCAAAGTATACATAGGATACTGTAACAACACATGATAATGTTAAAACATTCCACCCTTGATCTTCTCCCTGGGTTTATCTTAAAGAAGTTTAGCTAAAATAAATGGATGGATTTAATTCCACCTTAACAGTTTTACTCACATCACTTTCCTGTAATGAAGTATGTCAATCTATTTGTGAATGGGGTGTCAAACTGGCGTCCCTCCAGCTGTTGCAAAACTACAAGTTTCATCATGCCTTTGCCTTTGGGAGTTATGCTTGTAACTGTCAATCTTGCAATGCCTCATGGGACTTGTAGTTTGGCAATAGCTGGAGGGCCGTCAGTTTGACACCTGTGCTCTAACTGATCAGATTCTCCCCCATTTACAGAGTTACATGCAGTGTAATCAATGAAATAACTTTTCTCAGGGAAGAAGGAGAATGTCTCTGTGCCTCTCTGAATACCCAAAGCTGTTAACCATTGCAGCACTGGGAGTTCAGAGACAGGAAGAGGACAAGGCATCCCTGCAGTGAAGATTTCTCCTTGATCCAGGTGCCTGCATAAAGTGATGTGACTAAAGCTATAGGGATTTTTCTAGCTAACCTTCAACTTTATTGCAGAAGTGATCCTCTTAAATTCAATGTAACATTCACTATACTGTTTATAACCCCAAATTTAATACACTCAGTAGGATGTCAGCAGGGAGTGTAGTGTAATTAAAAAAAATTTAGATGTGTTTCTTAGTGAATGTAATATTACCAGGCAATGGAAAATGGTAGTAGACATACACACACACACAGGTTGAATTGGATGAACTAGTGTCTTAATTCAACCTTACTAACTATGTAACTATGATTCAAATAGCTGCGTCAAAGGTTTGGCTGGTAGCTGATAGTGTCAGCAAAACTTATTGTCATGTTACAATGAATTTAGGAGGATCCCTACTGCATTAAGATAATCCCAGGGAGGATAACAGGGGCAGTTCTAACATTAAACCATTAATTTTGGTTAATGATTCATACTCTGAATGGTCTAGGGTCAGTGGTGTACCACAAGGTTCGGTTTTGGGACTCTTACTTTTTAATATATTTATAAACAATATAGGGTCTGGGATTAAAAATAACATTTCAGTCTTTGCAGATGACACCAAGCTGTTCAGTGGAAAAAAACGTCTCCAACTTACAAGCTGACCTCAATGCACTTTTTAATTGGGCAACTATGTGGCAAATGAGGCTTAATGTTGATAAATGTAAGGTTATGCACTTGGGGGCTAAGAATATGCATGCATCATACATACTAGGGGGAGTACAACTGGGGGAATCAACGGTGGAGAAGGATCTGGGGGTTCTGGTAGATCACAAGCTTAATAATGGCATGCAATGCCAAGCTGCGGTTTCTAATGCAAGCAAAATCCTCTCTTGTAATAAAAGAGGTATATACTCCATAAAGAGAGATATCATTCTACCCCTGTACAAATCATTAGTAAGACCTCATCTGGAATATGCAGTTCAGTTTTTGGGCACCAATTCACAAAAAGAACATTGGGGAACTGGAGAAATTACATGGAAGGACAACCAAACTGATAAGAGGCATGGAGGAGCTCAGCTATGAGGAAAGATTAGAGGAACTGAATTTATGAGCTGTGAAAATGTGTAATGGACTCCCTGTTGCTTTAAAAAAGGCCTGGAATCTTTCCTAGATACACAGAATATAACTGGATACTAACATTTATAGGTAAAGTTGATCCAGGGAATATCTGATCTTTCTGGGGATCAGGAAGGAATTTTTTCCCCTGAAGGAGCACATTGGATCATGCTTTGCTGGGTTGTTTTGCCTTCCTCTGGATCAACTGTGGGTGTAGGATTATAACTTTTTTTTTTTTTTTTTTGGTTGAACTGGATGGACTTTTGTCTTTTTTCAGCCAGACTAACTATGTAACTATGTAAGTTACATAGATGAGACAAACTATTTAACAATAACAGGGGTGCTTGCAAGGATCAGCTTTTATTTATGTAAAACTTTTATCCCAAAAAGAACAAAACTGTTTGCTGTAACTGATTAAAAAGTGTGAGCTGCAGTTTGGCTTAAATTTTTCGTTTAACTAAATCTGTTAGTACATTTAACACTCCCTCTACCCAGAATGACAGTGCTGCTGTCCAAAAGTGCCCCCTGTGCTCCTTCATCCAGAGTGGAGGCACTCTAATACTGGAGGTGTGTTACTGGCCAGACCACCAGGTGAAAACAGAGGGAAAAAAGGCTAAAAACTGAAAATTAATGCAGACACCACATCTAATGATTGGTAAGCTGCAATATATTACATTTTTGGTTTTGAGTTTAATACCTAAATCATGTTTTTACAATGTAAATAATTTGTTGAATAAATATTGAGTATGTTTATTATAGGTGGATTAGTGTTTTCAAAGTTGGTTGTGAAGAAATATCCAATACAATCTATTATTACAATGTTTGCTTACTTTTAAGTTAAAATAAACAGGCATTTAGATAACATTACTATTGGTACAAAGCCACATTGCTCTTGCTAATCACTCTCAAATTTAAATTGATATCTTATAAAATAGAAACATTATTACTAAACTGAAAACAAAATTGTCTTGGTCCTGAAAGGGGCTCCGAATACAGGAAGTACAGTATATACTCCATTTCCACAAATATCCCTCTTTACTGCTTCACTAGTAATTTCTAATTGTTTACTAGTTCATTAAACTATATGCAAAATATTATTTGTATTGATCATAAAACATATATGAATTTATTTTTCATCAATCCATAGGTCCAACAAAATCTCCAGACCCCACCCACTCATCAGTAAGTGTTTAAATATGGAAAACAGTCTTTAATTATTTAAGAAGGGCCCTTTCACACTTGCATGTTCCATTTGATGCATTGATATTTCTGGGGGCTTTTTTTCTTCCCTATTATTCTATCACCAGTGGGGAAGTTTTTTTTATTTTTATTAATGCATTCTTCACATGACTGGAACATTAATATTCCTGGCTATGTTCTCTTTTGGAGAGAAAGGGTAAAAAGGAAAGTTGGTGGTGTTTGTCTTTATGTGAGAAGTGATCTCAAAGCAAGTGTGAAAGAGGACTTAGTTGATGGAGTGTGTGATGAGGTTGAAGCATTATGAGTGGAACTGCACATGGGGGGGCGTACTACAAAGGTAATAGTTGGAGTTTGTTATAGGCCACCCAGTGTTAATAAGGAGATGGAGACTCGCTCCTTGCACAGATTGAAAGGGCTGCCAGGGATGGGACAGTAATAATAATGGGGGATATAAACTACCCAGAAATTGACTGGAGTAATGGTACTGCAGGAACCGTTAAAGGGCAAACATTTATAAACCTATTACAAGACAATTTCATGGTACAGTTCATAGAGACCCCAACATGGAATGATGCTCTGCTGGACCTGGTAATCTCAAACCATGCAGAGCTTATTACTAATGTTCATATAAAAGAACATCTGGGTAGCAGTGACCTTAACATGATTTCATTTATTGTTAGCTATAAACAACCAGCACATACTGGAAAGAAAAAAACACTCAACTTTAAGAGAACAAATTTTCCAAGGATGAGGGCTGCTCTTCAAGACTTAGATTGGGAGGCAATATTGGCATCGCTAAACATTGAACAGAAATGGGAGTTCTTCAAAAAAATACTGTATTCAAACACACTGAAAAATACGGTATATTCCCATGGGCAACAAGTTTAAAAGGTTAAAAAAATAAACCTATGTGGTTTAGCCAAAGTTAAAAAAAACTATAAATAATAAGAAAAGAGCTTTTAAAAAATATAAAAATGAAGGAACACTATCATAATTTGAATATTACAAACAACATAACAGAATATGTAAAAAGGAAATCAAGCATACAAAAATTAAAAGCGAACAGATTGCAGGAAAAACCACAAAACATATTAATAGTAAAAAGGTTTGGTCCGTGCATGTAGGCCCTTTACAAACTAATCTAGAGTGGGTGACTGGGGACAAAGAGAAGTCAAACTGATTAAATATCTTCTTCAGTTCTGTGTATACAAAGGAGCATGGGGGAGCGAGCTCTTGTCCATAATGGGGATGATATTGATACAAGCCCTAAATGATCCACTATGGCTCAAATTTGATATGGTCCAGAAATATTTAGACAGAATAAAGGTGAATAAAGCACCTGGACTGGATGGCATACACCCATGGGTTCTAAAAGAATTGAGCTCTGTCATTTCAAAGCAATGGTTTCTAATTTTTAGGGACTCTTTAATGACTGGCATAGTACCACTGGATTGGTGTAAGGCCAATGTGGTGCCAATATTTAAAAAGGAATCAAAGTCTTTACCAAGTAATTATAGACCTGTTAGTTTAACTTCTATAGTTGGGAAGCTACTGGAGAGTTTATTAAAGCAACCACATAGATGGGTTCTTGCAGAAAAAAATTATTTAAGCAACAGACAGCATGGATTCATGAAAGACAAAGGTTGTCAAACAAATCTGATTTCATTTTATGAGGTAAGCAAAACCTTAGACAAAGGAGTGGCTGTGGACGTGGTATACTTGGATTTTGCTAAAGCATTTGACACAGTTCCCCACACACGGCTAATTTGTAAGGTGAAGTCTACAGGCTTGAAAAAAATCTGTATTTAAATGAATAGAAAACTGGCTAAAAGATGGAATTCAGAAAGAATTGGTTCATGAAGTTTAATGTTGATAAATATAAAGTTATGTACTTTGGGGCTAAGAATACGCATGCATCATACATACTAGGGGGGTACAACTGGGGGAATCTATTATGGAGAAGGATCTGGGAGTTCTGGTAGATCATAAGCTTACTAACGGCATGCAATGCCAAGCTGTGTTTTCCAAGTGAGCAAAATCCTTTCTTCTTAAAAGAGATATATCATTTTACCCCTGTAAAACCTCATCTGGAATATGCAGTTGAGTTTTGGGCACCAATTCACAAAAAAGAACATTGGGGAACTGGAGAAAGTACAGAGGAGGGAACCAAACTGATGAGAGGCATTGAAGAGATCAATTATGAGGAAACATTAGAGGAACTGAATTTATTGTCTCTTGAGAAGAGGAGATTAAGGGGTGATATGATCAACATGTATCATTACATCAGTGATCCATATAGTGAACTTGGTGTAGAGTTATTCACCTTGAGGTCAACACAGAGGACAAGGGGGCACTCTTTACGTCTGGAGGAAAAGAGATTTAATCTCCAAATACAGAAAGGTTTCTTCACAGTAAGAGCTGTGAAAATGTGGAATAGATTCCCTCAGGAGTTGGTTCTGGCCAGCTCAGTGGATTGCTTTAAAAAAGGCCTGGATTATTTCCTAGATACACAGAATATAACTGGATACTAACATTTATAGGTAAAGTTGATCCAGGGAATATCTGATTGCCACTTGGGAGATCAGGAAGGAATTTTTTCCTAGGAGCAAATTGGATCAAGCTTTGCTTGGGTTTTTTGCCTTACTTTGGATCAACTGTGGGTATAGGATATAGAGTACATTTTTTCCCTTTTATGGTTGAACTAGATGGATTTGTTTTTTTTCAGCAAGAGTAACTTTGTCTCTTTTTTCTGCTTATTTTAAATTTTCTTTTATTATCCATCTTTTCCAACTATTTTTGTACATTTTTGATGGTTAATTCAATTTAACCACTTGCCCTCCAGAGGATTTACCCCCCTTCCTGACCAGGCCATTTTTCGCTGCAGTACTTTAACTGCCAATTGCGCAGTCATGCAGCACTGCACTCAAATTAAATTCCTGTCCTTTTTTTCCCACAAATAGAGCTTTCTTTCAGTGGTAATTGATCTGTGTGTTTTTAATTGTTTGCGCTATAAACAAAAAAGACTGACAATTTTGAAAAAAAAAACAGGGTTTTTCAGCTATTAAACATGTCCAGTAAGAAAATGTAAAAAATTTAATTTAGTCATAAATGAAGGCCAAAATGTATTCTGCTACATGTCTTTGCTTAAAAAAAAAAGTGTAAATTGATTGGTTTACATGAAAGTTATAGTGTCTACAAATGGCGGTGTATATACTGGAATTTTTTTATTTTTTAATACTAGTAATGGCGGTGATCAGCGAGTTCAATCACCTCCATGGCCACATGACTATAAAATAAAGCACCTAGGCATGCAGACTGCTTCTACAAACATTTGTGAAAGAATGGGTTGCTCTCAGGAGCTCAGTGAATTCAAGTGTGGTACCGTGATAGGTTGCCACCTGTGCAATAAGTCCATCCTTAAAATGTCCTTGCTACTGAATATTCCACGGTCAACTGTTAGTGGTATTTTAATAAAGTGGAAGCAACTGGGAACAACAGCAACTCAGCCATGAAGTGGTAGAACACGTAAAATGAAAGAGCAGGGTAAGTGCATGCTGAAGCACGCAGTGCGCAGAAGTCACCAACTGTCTGCAGAGACAATAGCTAAAGACCTCCAAACTTTGTGTGGCCTTCCAATTAGCACAACAACAGTGCATAGAGAACTTCATGGAATGGGTTTCCCTGGCTGAGCAGCTAAATCCAAACCTTATATCACCAAGTGCAATGCAAAGTGTTGGATGCCGTGGTGTAAAGCATACTGCCACTGGACTCTAGAGCAGTGGAGACGTGTTCTCTGGGGTTGGGTTTGGCCCCTTAGTTCCAGTTTAAGGATCTCTTAAGGCATCAGCATACCAAGACATTTTGGACAATTTCATGCTCCCAACTTTGTGGGAACAGTTTGGGGATGACCCCTTTCTGTTCCAACATGGCCAGTGCACAAAGCAAGGTCCATAAAGACATGGATGAGAGAGTTTGGATTGGAGGAACTTGACTAGCCTGCCGTCAACCCGATAGAACACCTTTGGGATGAATTAGAGTGGAGACTGCGAGCCAGACCTTCTTGGCCAACAAAGACACACTCCTAAACCTTGTGGATACCCTTCGCAGAAGAGTCGAAGCTGTTATTGGTCATGTGTGGTTTGTTTTGTTCTGAATTTCAGTTATTCGGAGATTCAAATGTATCCCAATAGTAACAAATTTAAACGAATCTGAAATAATTAAACTAAATTCGGCTGAAATTCGAATCAATTTGAATTTTAAAACAAATTCAAATATGAAAACAAGAATAGAATAAACAAGAACAGAAAATAGAATAGAAAAGCATAGAGGAAAAAAGAGCAAAATAGAAAATAATAGAATAGAACCAGAATACAAATAAAAATGAATAGAAAGAATAGTAAGAAAGAACAAAATAGAATAGAAAAGAAAGGAATAGAATAAACATAATTAGAATAGAATAGATAAGATTAGAATATAAAATCAAAGAATAGACTCATTTAGAATAGAATAGAAAAGATTAGAATAGAATAGAACATAAAAGATTGGAAGAGAATAGAAAGTCAAAGAATAGAAAAAAGAACAGGATAGAAAAGATTGGAATAGAAATCAAAGAATAGAATAGAAAAACAATAAAAGAGAATAGAATTAAATAGAATATACCTGTCTGCCTAAATTCAAATTTTGAATAGAATGAATTTGAATAGAACACATTAGAATAGAATATAAAATAATGGAATAGAATAGAAGAGAATAGAAAAGAACAGAGGGAAAAAAAACAGAATAGAAAGTAAAAGAATAGAACAGAATACAAAAGAAAAAATAGCATAGAAAAGAATAGAGTAAAACAGAACAAAATAGAATAGAAAATAAAGGAATAGAAAGGAATATAATCAATTAGAATAGAATAAAAAAGGTTAGAATAAAAATACAAAATAGAACAGAAAATCAAAGAATTGAATAAAAAAAAAAAAAAAAATAGAATATAACTGTCTTCCGAAATTCGAATTTCTAATAGAATAAATTTGAATTCAAATAGAATGCATTACAATAGAATATAAAACAATAGAATAGAGAAGAAGAAAATAGAAAATAAACTAATAGAATAGAAAAGAATAGGATACCTTACAAAACAATAAAAATTGTGAGCAGCGTTATGAAGACGTGAGTAGTGATTACTAAAGGCACTGTGAAAATTTTGCTGAAATGGATTTGGATTGTGGATTATGGATTGTAATGCTAGAATTATTTTCGTATCCATTCAGAATTTCTAATTCAGTTGAATTCGAATAAATGAAATGAAACAAATTTTGAAAACGAATCGAACGGAACGAAATTAGTCAAATAACAAAAGAAAACGAAACTAAACAAAACAATGTTTTCTGTTTTGCACATGTTTAGCTGCTATAGCTGCAAAGGGTGGGCACTCAACTCAATATTGAACCCTATGGACTAAGACTGGGATGCCATTAAAGTTCATGTGCGTGTAAAGGCAGGCGTCCCAATACGTTTGGCAATATAGAGTATACTGACTTTTATATACACTGCTCAAAAAATTAAAGGACCTACTTCTTAATCAGAGTATAGCATCAGTTCAATTATACTCCTGGGATATTTATCTGGTCAGTTACGTAGCAGAGGGGGTTGTTAATCAGTTTCAGCTGCTTCCTCGATGGGCAACAATGAGCCGACCCCCAAAATAGGAATAGTTTTACAGGTGGAGGCCACTGACATTTTTTTTCCCTACTCATCTTTCTGATTGTTTTTCACTAGTTTTGCATTTGGCTAGGGTCAGTGTCACTACTGGTAGCATGAGGCGATACCGGGAGTCTACAGAGGTTGCACAGGCAGTCCAGCTCCTCCAGGATGACACATCAGTACTTACAATTGCCAGAAGGTTTGCTGTGTCTCCCAGAACAATCTGAAGAGCATGGAGGACATTCCAGGAGACAGGCATTTACTCTAGGAGAGATAGACAGAGTCATAGAAGTTCCTTAACCCATCAGCAGGACCAGTATCTGCTCCTTTGTGCAAGCAGGAACAGTATGAGCACTGCCAGAACCATACAAAATGACCTCCAGCAGGCCACTGATGTGAATGTCTCTGACCAAAAAATCAGAAACAGACTTCATGTGGGTGGCCTGAGGGTCTGATGACCTCTAGTGGGCCCTGTGCTCCCTGCCCAGCACCATAGAGCTCGACTGGCATTTGCTACTGAACACCAGAATTGGCAGGTCTGCCACTGGTGGCCTGTGCTTTTCACAGATGAGAACAGGTTCACCCTGAGCACATGTGACAGACCTGAAAGGGTCTGGAGAAGCCATGGAGAACGTTATGCTGCCTGTAACATTGTTCAGCATCAGCATTTTGGTAGTGGGACAGTGATGGTCTGGGGAGACATATCCATGGAGGGACGCACAGACTTCTACAGGCTAGACAATGGCTCCCTGACTGTCCTTAGGTATCAGGACGAAATCCTTGTTAGTTCCCCACCCCAGCATCAGTTAGTGTCAGATTGCCGCTGCAGTATCACAGTCCCATTATAAATAGATGATTGCCGCCATTAGTAGTATAAAAAAAAATACAAATTCAGTATACACTAGATTTCCAAAAGTATTGGGACACCCCTCCAAATCATTGGATTCAGGTATTCCAATCACCTCCATGGCTGCCACAGGTGTATAAATCAAGCAGCTAGGCATGCAGACTGCTTCTACAAACATTTGTGAAAGAATGTGTCGCTCTCAGAAACTTAGTGAATTTAAGAGTGGTACCGTGATAGGTTGCCATCAGTGCAATAAGCCCATCCATAAAATTTCCTAAACTTACTAAATATTCCATGCTCAACTGTTAGTGGTATTATAACAAAGTGGAAGCACCAGGGAACAACAGTAACTCAGCTATGAAGTGGTAGACCACGTAAAATGACAGAGCAGGGTCAGCGCATGCTGAAGCGCACAGTGCACAGAACTCGCCAACTGTCTAAAGACCTCCAAACAACGTGTGGCCTTCAGATTAGCACAACATAGTGCATAGAGAGCTTAATGGAATGGGTTTCCATGGCCAAGCAGCTGCATCCAAGCCTTACATTGCCAAGTGCAAAGCAAAGTGTTGGATGCAGTGGTGTAAAGTACGCCACCATTGGACTCTAGAGCAGTGGAGACGTGTTCACTGGAGTGACCAATCATGCTTCTCTGTCTGGCAATCCGATGGACATGTCTAGATTTAGCGGTTGCCTGGAGAATGGTACTTGCCTGACTGCATTTTGCCAAATGTAAAGTTTGGTGGAGGGAGGATTATGGTGTGGGGTTGTTTTTCAGGGGTTGGGCTTGGCCCCTTAGTTCCAGTGAAGGGAACTCTTAAGGCGTCTTGCCTTAGAATTTGAGAGAGCTGAATCCCCCCCAGAAAAAAAAAATTTCTACTGCCCTGCTCTGGCATATCATGTTTTGGTCTAGCTGACACCACCAGGTTGCACCTCAGACTGTCCAGGAGCTCAATGATGCCCTGGTCCAGATCTGGGAGGAAATACCCCAGGAAACCATCTGTCGTCTCATTAGGAGCATGCCCCAATGTTGTCAGGCATGCAAGCAAGCACGTGGGGGCCATACTAACTACTGAGTACCGTTTTGAGTTGCTGCAATGAAATTTCAGCAAAATGGACTAGCCTGCTGCATCATTTTTTCACTTTGATTTTTGGGGTGTCTTTGAACTCAGTCCTCTGTAGGTTGATAATTTTCATTTCCATCAAACGATGGGGCATTTTTACATTCCTAACACGTTACCCAGTCCATATCTGCATAGATATCCAGCATGATATTTTTCCCCATTGAGATCTGATGTGTTTTCAAAGTGTTCCTTAATTTTTTTTGAGCAGTGTATCTTGCACAATAATCTCTTGCATTTTTAAATAAGTTGCTTGTGGTACACTTTTGTTCTGGAAGTGTGAATGATATTTCACTGATGTGATTTTTTTATATGTGTGACGAAAGCATAGTATTTTTTTTTATATGGTACATTAAGGTATAGTGCTGGGTTATTTGATAAAGAATTCTCTGTAGTTTTTTTTAAAATGGCATTGCCTACATCTGTTTGGGCAAAAAGAGAATATATAGCACAGATCAATGAAAAATATTTAAAACACTTTAACTATGTTTTTTTAACTGTTAGTGAAGGGAAGGTTTTGCCACTTCACAATAAATAACTTGTATCTTTGTTAATACTGTATATGCATTTTGTATTCTTGATCCCAAGTATGGAAGAAAAAATTAGTATTATCTTGTGTCACAAAAGTGGCACAAAATGTAGCTCCTTCATATTAAATACATTGTCAAATCAGTCCAGTTATCTAACTTGTCAGTTTTACAACAATTTTACAGAAATTTTCAGCAAGTACCCATAAGAGTTCTTTACGACTTTGAAGCCAGGAATGAACGCGAACTGTCAGTTATGAAAGAAGACAGAGTAAAGGTAACAATTGGCTTTTGTGTTGCAGATGTGTTTAATCAATGCAGTATGTGGTTCTTTTATTATGAAAAGTCTCACTAATTACAATGATTAAATGATATTGCCTAATACAGTCTAACTTTTCCACCAACCTTATCACATGAATCAAACCAAAAAACTGTTGAAAACCATCTTCAGTTAATAAATGAAATACAATGTATACTGTTTATGCAGTATGCCCATTTGCTGAATGGTGCTAATTCAGAAAAGAAAAATAGTAATCTCTAATTGCACAGGCTCTACTTAACTATGCTGGCACTTCACAGAGCATGCTTCCAGAATGCTGTCCTGTTTGTCTCAGAATATACCCACTTTACATCTTAATGTGGCTCTCTTTTCCTCTGAATGAGTCTCTCTTTGCTACCTAAATGTATCCTTCTTTGCCTCCAGAATTATTTTTTTTTTTATTTAAAATTGTTATTTCGCTCTTTGGCACAGTACTTGTTTCAAAATCATGGTTAGCAGTCCACCTGACATGGCGGAACAACAACAGTCTTTATGAACACAAGGTACAAGCAATGAAAAGAACCATGTAAGAACCCTCAAGAGTTGGTTCTGGCCAGCTCAGTGGATTGCTTTAAAAAAGGCCTGGATTCTTTCCTAGATACACAGAATATAACTGGATACTAACATTTATAGGTAAAGTTGATCCAGGGAATATCTGATTGCCTCTTGGGGGATCAGGAAGGAATTTTTTTCCCTGTGGGAGCAAATTGCATCTTGCTTTGCTGGGTTTTTTGCCTTCCTCTGGATGAACTGTGGGTATAGGATTATAAACTTTTTTTTTTTTAATGGTTAAACTGAATGGACTTTTGTCTTTTTTCAGCCAGACTAACTATGTAACTATGTCTAACAAAGCTGTGTCATGTTGTACAGCACTTGAAACATCGGAATACCAGTTACACAAGAAATATAATTCCAACCATAAGCCATAAAGTCATATATCACATATTTTCTTGACCATCCTACACCAGTGCATATGCAGGTGTCCAGACCATGCAGATTTAGGCCACTAGAGCGGATGTATTGTTACCATTTTGCCTTAAAATGTACCCCCTTCTCTATTAAATTTAATGAATGTGTCACTCTTTGCCTTAGAGACTTGCATACACCTGTGCCATAGTCCTGTAAGGATTAAAGAAATTGCTGATATCATATATCACAATAGGGAATCTTTACTTGTGTGGTAGGAGTTCAGCTTTCTCCGAATCTAAAGATGAAATGGGGAATGGAGTTGATGGGACCAAGTTTTGCCAAATTGTAAAATATAACACAGAGAATGTTTTATATTTTGAATTAACTTTACAAGGTTGAGAGAGTAATATAGATTATATTGTTACTATATCTTTTAAAAAAAAAGGCCACTTTAGACATAATTATAAAAACATTTGTGAATTGCTCAGGGCCCATGATGTAATCATTTTCCTCCAAAAGTCCATGCTAAAAATTAACTTTACAACCAACAAGAGCATCACAAATAATTTTTCATGTTGAAAGTGAGTCTCTTCTAGCTCAGTTGTGCATTGTTAATATAATGGCTGGAAAACATAAGATGGAGCTTTGTCTTCTTTTTAACCCATCAATTTTTAGGGTTAAATTAAAAAAAAGTGTCCCTTTTTGTATACTGTATTGTCATATCCACACCACATTCCAGTAATAGAGAATGTTCTGACAATTGCACTAAATTGGGACTTTTCTTGTACAATAGTTTTTATTGGTTTTTCACTTTTTTCATGTTTGAGGTAATAACAAAGTACAATCATTTAGAAAAGAAGGACCCTCCCAGGGGACCAATTGTCAAATAAGCAGTACAAACAAGGACACATAAACAGAATAGCCTTCAACCAGAACACACCCTAATTAGAGGGAGATGAACCTGAGTAAAATATTCGGCTGAGGTAAATCATAGTGAAGATCTGTGGGAAGGTGGGGGTGAGGAGGGGGGAGAAGGGAAGATAACTTCGCAGAGAAGGGAGGAGGAAGGAGGCATAGAAAGAAAAAAAAAGAAAGAAAAGACCTAAGAAAAGTAGACCGTAATCTAAATTGGAACTTTTAAGGTGTCACAACATTTAGCACTGTAAAATTTGTGTCCCAAAACTGGGAAAACTATAATTTTGTTTATTTAAACCTAATAAAACTTTACTAAAATTATAAAACATGCATAAAATAATAGGGCATTGTTTGCACTAGTAGTACCAAAAACACTATATTGCCAAAAGTATTGGGACGCCTTTATCCGCAAATGAACTTTAATGGCATTTCAGTCTTAGTCCGTAGGGTTCAATATTGAGTTGGTCCACCCTTTGCAGCTATAACAGCTTCAACTCTTCTGGGAAGGCTGTCCACAAGGTTTAGAAGTGTGTCTATGAGATTATTTGACCATTCTTCTAAAAGCGTATTTGTGAGATCAGGCACATTCTTTTCTATTCTATTCCTTTATTTTCTATTCTATTTTGTTCTTTTTTTTTACTCGATTCTTTGCTATTCTTTTCATTTGTATTTTGTTCTATTCTTATTTTCTATTCTGTTCTGTTTTCATCTATTCTTTTCTATTCTGTTCTTTTATTATCTATTCTCTTCTTTCCTATTCTTTTATTTTCTATTCTCTTTTTATCTATTCTTGTTTTCCAATTTGAACTTGTTTTTGTTCTTTGTTTTTGTAATTCGGATACATCCGAATCTGCGAATAATGGACAATTCGTCTGAATTTCGTTTCAATACAAAATGAACTGCACATGTCTAACAGTTTCAACTCTTCTGGGAAGGCTGTCCACTGGGTTTAGTAGCGTGTCTATGGGAATGTTTGACCATTCTTCCAGAAGCGCATTTCTGAGGTCAGGCACTGATGTCAGACGAGAAGGCCTGGCTCACAGTCTCCACTCTAATTCATCCCAAAGGTGTTCTCTGGGGTTGAGGTGCAGGCCAGTCAAGTTCCTAAACTACACATCCATGTCTTTATGGACCTTGCTTTGTGCACTGGTGCACAGTCATGTTGGAACAGGAAGGAGCCATCGCCAAACTGTTCTCACAAAGTTGGGAGCATGAAATTGTCCAAAATGTCTTGGTATGCTGACATCTTAAGAGATCTGTTCACTGGAACTAAGGGGCCAAGCGCAACCCCTGAAAAACAACCCCACACCATAATCCCCCCCCCCCAGGGGCGGTGTGACAACTCATGGGGTCCCTGGGCAATAGAAGATCATGGGGCCCCCTCTGTGTCCTCGCCCAAGCCACACCCACGGAAAGCACAGTGCTGAATAGCAAAGAATGCCCTGGTGTTACACCCTATATAAAACACTGCTATCTGAACACTGAGTGGCACTCAGTGTTCAGTTATCATTTGTTATATATAGGGAATAACACTAAGAGTACAGATATCAGTGTTACACATAGGGAATAGCAGTCAGTGTACAGATATCACTTGTTACATATCACTGGTATCTGTACACTGACTGCTAGTCCCTATGTATAACACTGATATCTGTACACTGCTTGCTATTTCCTATATATAATAATGATATCTGAACACTGAGTGCACTCTTGAGTCATATCCAGGGCCATCTTTAATATCGATTGGACCCTGGGCAAAAATTTTCTTGGGCCCCCCTCTGCTATTCAATTTTGTTCTCCACTCCAACATCTCAAAAAACAAACATGCCCATAGACTTATCAAAAAAAAAACTTTAATAATGTAAACATAAAAACTTGTCCACACTCTCAGATTGGTTGAGGCTCACTGATTGGTTGCTAGGGGTTACTGCATATCATTGTGCTCACTGATTGGTTGCTATAAGTGACTGTGCATCATTACCGCTTACTAATTGGTTGCTATAGGCTACTATGCATCATTACCACTGGTTTCTCTAATTGGTCCTTTCTGCAGCCAGGAGGTGAGGGGGAGCTAGGTTTATTACTTGTAGCCAGGGCATTTTTTCTCAGGTGGAGGAACTCACCCTCCCTGGCCAACTCCTTACCCCCAACCTTGGCATTTCTTGCGGTGAGATCTAGAGCAGCACCAAAAAAATCTACACATTGCACAAGAGATACAGAGTACCACACTCAGTATTGCATAGCACATTGTACTCAGGAGTATGCACTGTGCAGTGCTGAGGTGTTTGTATCTCACAAGGTACAGAATAAAATCAGTGCTCTCACCTCTTCACAATTCCCCCCCCCCCATTCAGTGCTCTCACCTCTTCACAAATTCCCCCCCTCCCCCCATTCAGTGCTCTCACCTCTTCACAAATTCCCCCTCCCCCATTCAGTGCTCTCACCTCTTCACAAATTCCCCCTTCCCCCATTCAGTGCTCTCACCTCTTCACAAATTCCCCCTCCCCCCATTCAGTGCTCTCACCTCTTTGCAAATCCCCCCTTCTTCCCTCCAGCGCCCCTCCCCTCCTCTTCACAACCATCCCCCGCCCCTTGCTGGCACCTCTGCACACAACTAGAACACTTCCCTCGGCTGTGTGCTACTCAAGTCTGACAGGCTGAGGAACACAGAGAGCCGCTGAGGTCCTGACACTCCCAACATAGGGAGAAGCAGCAGGCTCCAGCACATGCAGTCCACAGCTGTGCCTGTGTTACCCGGCCGGGGAAGGGGGGAATCTCAGCTACACTAGCTATAACGGGAAACACTGGGCAGGATAAAACATTCAGCCTGACTAGCTGCAGTGCTGACCTGGGCTGGGCATTACACACTGACCTGCTGCACACTAAGCAGGTTGCCAGCTCAGCGATGGCTCTCCAGTGAACTGTCTGCCCAGCACTTCCAGCTCTACAAGGTCAGCACCTGTGGCAGGGATGTGGACCTCCACTGAATCCGTCAGGAGGAGAGGTGTATGAAGCACCTGCCACTACCCCATCCACCATTGCTCTCTGATCCAGCCAGCATTAGTCCTCTCTGATTTCTGCATGAATTGCAGACATGGATGCCATGGCTCACCCCCTCCTTGGGGCTTGCCTAA